TGTTCCCTCATTCTGGCTCAGTAGTAGAGCATCTGCTTGGCATGCAGAAGGTCCCAGGATCAATCCCCAACATCTCCAGTTAAAAGGACCAGGCAGGAGGTGATGGGAAAGACCTCAGTGGTAGAGCTTCTGCTTGACATGCACAAGATCCCAGGTTCAACACCAGCATCTCGAGTTAGAAGGACCAGGTAGTAGGTGATGTGAAAGACCTCAGTGGCTCAGTGGTAGAGCATCTGCGTGTAATGCACAAGGTTCCAGGATCGATCCCCAGCATCTCCAGTTGAAAGGAATGGGTATTAGGTGATGTGAAAGACCTCAGTGGCTCAGTAGTAGAGCATCTGCTTGGCATGCAGAAGGTCCCAGGATCAATCCCCAACATCTCCAGTTAAAAAAGACCAGGCAGGAGGTGATGGGAAAGACTTCAGTGGTAGAGCTTCTGCTTGACATGCACAAGGTCCCAGGTTCAACGCCAGCATCTCGAGTTAGAAGGACCAGGTAGTAGGTGATGTGAAAGACTTCAGTGGCTCAGTGGTAGAGCATCTGCTTGTAATGCAGGAGGTCCCAGGTTCAATCCCCGGCATCTCCAGCTAAAAAGACCAGGTAGTAGGTGACGTGAAAGACCTCTGCCTGAGAAGCCCTGAAGAGTCACTGCCAGTCTGAGTAGACAATACTGACTTTGATGGACCAATGGCCTGATTCAATATAAGGTTGTGAAAAAAGCACAAATAAGTCAAATGAAACAGGGGGAGCACCAGAATGGGACAGTGACATATTCCCAAACTGTGGCTTCAAGAAAAGATAAGTATGAACATATACCTACCTACCTCCTAAGTAAAAGGGAACTATTTTTCTTTTTCTGTACTCCTAAAGGAATTTGATTGTATGTGTGTGAGATTCTGTTTTGTGTGTATGAGATGTTGATATTCTTCAGTAAAAGACAAATTGATTTAAATTCACCAGTCTCGTCTCTCTCATTGGGACATCCTTGGGGTGAACCGGACTTCCGTAAACTTTGGCAGGAACCCATATTAAATTTAGTTTGCCATCTGTCGTAGATAAAACAGTTTGGCTAACACTAAAGAGATGGCTCTTTCAGTCCTGCAGAACCTCTCAGAGGGGTCAAACTGTGCTTTGGGGGAGGTCTTAGAGGGGTCAAACTACTGCTCTACGGTGACAACCATCACCCAGCGGGGAGCCATCTTGTTTTCATGGCCCTGGACTCCTCTCAGATATTTGGGCCTGTGCTGTCTGCTGCGTCTCCTGGCTTCCGCAATCCAGGAGGTGTTACACTCTCTCTGCCCCTCCCATCCCTGTAAAAATATTTGGCTGGGCACGCAGCAATACACCTTACTGAGCATTCCACCGTTACCCTAACAGCCACTTTGAAGACTGCAGATGCGATTAGTCTTCTGACCAAAAGCAACCCCCGCTCCCTTGCCTTAAACACTTGCCCTAAACAACATTAATAGAATCATAGAGTTGGAAGGGACCTCCAGGGTCGTCTAGTCCAACCCCCTGCACAATACAGGAAATTCACAAATACAAACAGTGACCGCTGATCCACGCCCAGAAGATTTGGAAAAAAAACCTCCAGGATCCCTGGCCAAAACTGCCCTGGAGAAAAATTGCTTCCTGGCTCCAAAGTGGCAATCAGCATTTCCCTAGGCGAATAAGAGAGGAAGCTAAGAATCAGCACAATCTAAGGTGTGTCAAACATGTGGCCTGGGGGCTGGATGAGGCCCCCGGAGGGCTTCTATCAGGCCTGCAGTGGAACTGGCTGTCTTCTGCTTCTCCTTCCAGTTCTGCTGCGTCATCGTAGGTTTGCAGAGCTTACAGATACACACACCTGAACAGCATCCTCAAGATTGCAACAGCAGAGACATTCCGATGCAATAATTCAGAGCAAGAGGTGTCAGTTACCAGACACTCTTAAATAAACTAAATATTGCAAGGGTGCTGATGTTTTAAGCAAAAATAAAAACCTTTGTGCTTGTGTCCTTTATAAAGTTTATGTCTCCCCTACCTGGCATTACGTTTTAGGACACACGTGGCCCGGCCCAACAAGGTCTCGTCTATCTCAGATCCGGCCCTCATAACAAATGAGCTCGACACCCCTGATCTAACTGCATACTAGGATCGCCAGCCTCCAAGTGAGTCCTGGACATCTGCTGGCATTACAGCTGATCTTCAGATGACAGGGACAGGCTGTTAGAAATACTTTTATATATTGGTAGTTATAGAAGATTGAATATGTGTTTCAATTTCCCTCCTGTTTCCCTGCAATGTTATGTAAAGTTTAGTATGTTTTTTATTCAATAAAACAAAAATTAAATTAAAAATGTATGTATTTTTTCCTAGCAGCCCTTACTCCTGGCCTGTCTCTAAGTGACTGAGAAAATTCCCTTTCTAACATGCCCACAGAGGGGGGAGAACTGAGAAGACACCATGCAGCTTACATTTAGCTGATCTCGCGTTGCAGCATTGGGCTTGAGATCGTGATCGGAGGGTCCGCTCCGTAAGCTCCGAGCCAGTTTGTGGTGTTTGCTTTCTACCAAGTTTTCCTGTCAGGGGGGAAAAATTCGAAGGAAGGAGTGTCAGTAGTTATCCTGAAATGTAAAAAAAAACCCCAGAAACAAATGCAAAATCAAGCCGATGTAAGTTTGGTTTAGACGTTGAGCCATACAGGTCACCTAGTCCAACCCCCTGCTCAGTCCAGGATCAGTCTAGAGCAGTGATGGCGAACCTTTTAGAGACCTTTTAGTGCCCAAACTGCGACCCAAAACCCACTTATTTATCGCAAAGTGCCAACACGACAATTTAACCTGAATACTGAGGTTTTACATTAGAAAAAACAACTCATACATTAACTTAAGATGATTCAAACAAAGTAAGGAAAGCAATCCCAAATGCTTTCATTTACTTAAAATTATTTGGCAGAGAATTCAACACTTTAATGATGGTCTGGGCCTAGCTGGGGCGATGGCAGACGTGCCCACAGAGAGGGTTTTGAGTGCCACCTCTGGCACCCGTGCCAGAGGTTCGCCACCTCTGGCCTAGAGCATCCCTGTCATGACCTGGGCTGTGCCACCAGAGGCCTACTAGGCCCAGGGAGCCTGGCTAGCAGTAGGTGAGGCTGGGCCTACAACTCCCAGAAGCCCCTGAGAGGTTTTGGAGCCAAAATTGACCAATAGGGAAGAAGAGGGCTGGGGAACAAAAGGGCTGGTGCCAGAGCAGAAGCTGTTCTTTCTTCCAGAGGGCAGAGCCAGAAGGAAGGTGCTGCAGGAAGAAACTCTCATCCTGAGGGAAGGGTGAGTAGTCTAGTGTCACTTGGCATAGTGAGCTAGGGACAGTCTATGTTTAGACACGTTAGGACATTTCATTTCTTTTCTTTTCACCCACTTACTGTTATTATTCTGCACCTTGTTGTTTGACCTCCTATAAAATAAACCTTTTCCTTGTTTCACTCTGCCTGGTCCTCAAGCCTAGTATTCGGCCAAAAGGGAGGTCTGAAGGTCTTGGGAAGGTGCTCTGGGCCTTCTCAAGGGAGCCTAAATCCAGAGTGGTGGCAGCGTCCGGTGACACCCCACCTGAGCCGTGACAATCTCTGACAAGGGTTTGCCCAGCCGCTGCTTAAAGACTGCCAGGGAGGGGGAGCTCGCCAACTCCTGAGGCAGCTGATTCTCAGCAGTGACAACATGGAAGGAAAAGATTATTTTTTGTGTGTGATGGGGTTAAAAAAGGGATTAATTTCAAATTTAGAAATAAAGTAGAATTTAAAATATAAATAAATATATACACTACTACTATTAACAACAACAACAACAACATATTAAAATTAGTTTAGTGCGGCCTGCCTTGAGACCTTAGGTCAAACAAGTTGACCTTTAAAGGAAGGTAAAGGAGTAGTTTAGTGTTCTTATTTGTACATTTTAAAAAAACAAACCCTCCTGTACCACTCCACCATCTTGCTATATTACCAGCAGCGCCACGCCAATAATAACTTACCATAGACATCTGGGGATCAGGAACCTTCACGATCTCCGAGCTGGTTAAAATCGGAGACGACTCATCGCCATCCTAGTTGACAAAGTAAGGGGGCGCATTAACCCTCTCAGCTTGTAAAAGATCAGTGTAGTTTGCCCAGGCTACTTAACATACAACAGTGTCAAGACAACGGTTGCCAGCTGTGGGCTGGGAAATCCCGGGAGATTTGGGGATGAAGCCTAGATTGGACTGTTTTGGATTGCTAGCTATTTGGGGGGGGGGGTGCAGATCTGTCCTCACAGAACTTAACATACAACAGTGTCAAGACAACGGTTGCCAGCTGTGGGCTGGGAAATCCCGGGAGATTTGGGGATGAAGCCTAGATTGGACTGTTTTGGATTGCTAGCTATTTGGGGGGGGGGGTGCAGATC